GTTTTAATTTTTTTTCTTCCAGAAAACACATGCAGATCACATTGACATATTTTTAACAAATGCATCATTCTTTAGAGTTAGTTACAAACATCTACATAAAAACATTGAGCGATGAGTACCTTCTAGTCCAACCTTAGCTATACTTTTTATCTCTTTTATTGAAGATAAATGAGAATAGGAATACAGTCCAAGCAAAAGCAGAAAGCCTTTGTTTTGCAGGGACTTTTTAACCGAGAAAGAGATCCATTACTTTGCGTCAATTGATAGAGTAATTTTGTCTATCCAGTTTTACAATATACTCAGTTTTATCTTGTAGGATTAACTAGTCCTTTTTCCACCTTTAACTGAAACAATTATTCTTTTATTAAGAACCGTTTTGGCAGTACATCTTGTTTCCAGTATCTGGCAACAATAATTTTTGCTGTCACCATTATATGTATTGGGAATATTTTCAGACTTTTATTGGCGTTAATTAATTCAAAATTCAATATATTTCAGGGCTAAAAGGTACATTTACTTCTGTAATAATTTGGATCTGAGAATGTAAAATTGTATTAAATTAGTTTCACCAGATGTGTATAAAATCCCCTCTATTGGCCTTACATCTCCAGCACACATCAACATTCAGGTATATCTTGGCTAAAAGACTAGGTACTAAATAAAGTCTATTGATAATTTTGAGTTGTAGTTCTGTTAACTTCAAACAGTTTATGGTTTTCAAAACTAAATTCCATGCATAAATCCATTCTGTTCCTAAATTTTTTATTTTTTTTTAAATGCTGGAAATATTAAACGTGGTTCGGACATTCTCAGAATATCAGCACATTTTTTTTTAAGAAAATGTTTATATTTTTTTTTTATCACATAACTTGTTACAAGTTTACGCCAAGCCTCATACATTTAAAAATTTTCTGCAAGGCAAAAATTTCAAATTTGTTTTAATCCTTGTAAATTTTCAAGTATTCAGAGTAGTAAAGTACATTTTTCTCTGATAGTTTCAAATGTCATAATCTTAGGACCATTACATCTGAAATGTTCTCAATACCAGCATTGGTCCATCGGTCTAATTTTAAGTCTTTAATATTGCAAGAATTTTAAAGAGTAGAGTTTTAATTATAAATTATTTCGTTTTCATATTTTATTTTATCTTTACCACATTTTCAGAATAGAGTTTACTACAATACTTCCAGCACTTAATTTGAGAAATGAAGACTTAGACTCTAGCACGGACTAAAACAATTTAACCATTTTACTTTCTTCCAAAAGCCCCTGCTCAAACTCATACCAGCGTTCTTTCTTGGATAAAGGCATTTATGTGATAATACTATGGAATAAAGTGGCTGAGTATTTACTAGCCATTCTTGTTTTTTTTAAATTTTATTTATTTATTTTTTTACCTTGCCATATGAATTTTAAAAATGCATGCTGAATCATCGTTAACCAACTCTCTGGGATGGGGAAAGGTATCATCAAACTACACCTTTTATGCTCCACCAATTAGGATGTAAAGTCAATTCTCACTGCAGCGTATGGTATTCCTGGGGTTCACCATAGCTTCCATTCAAGGCTTTCTTCATTTACCTCCCTCCAGAGTGAAGAACATCAATAAAGAAATCAGTTGAGTACTGTCTTGACCAATGATCATGAGAATGATTGGCCTGCTGTCGGTCTCCATTAATGCCATTTCCCCAGGGACTTTACACCAAGCATGTCAAACTCGAGGCTCACAACTTTTTTTTGGCCCAGCCAATCAGGAGTGCCGGTCAAGGGGGCACAAATCACTTGACTTGGCCTGCGCCTCAAGGCTATGTGTGGATCCATAAGGGAACCACACGCACAGTACACTAAGAGGGGAAGCGCCTCCCCCACATGCTCTGCATATGAGCTCTGGGTGTCATGTGACTACCCGGCGCTTAATTTGTCAGTGTGCCGATGGAGAGTGAGATGCTCCCCTGTCAAGTAAAATGGAAGGGCAAAGCCGGCGCCCAAGGTGGGGTACAGCAGCCTGAAAATAGAGGAGGGGAAACATGTGGGGGTGGGAGATGTGGATGGGGAGACACATGGATGGAATGTTTAGGGAGAGACATGGGGAGAGAGATTTGGATGGGGCAAGGGAGATATGGGTGGAGGGAAATATGAATGGAAGAGAGACATGGATGGAATGGGTAGGGAGGGAGACATGAATGGAAGGGGAAGGCAGATGTAGGGGGAGAGATATGGAAGAGGGGAGAAGGAGACATGGATGGAAGAGGGTAGAGGAAGACATGTATGTGGGAGAGACATGGAATGGAGGGGAACAGAGACATGGATGGAAGGGAGAGAGACATATGGGAGATGGATGGAAGGGGGGTAGAAGCGTAGTGTGCAGCCATACTTTACTCTACCTGGAGATTGCAGAGGGACTGGGGGAGTGAGCGGAGCCGACACTCCAGACAGTGGCATTTCTACTGAGACCGTAAGTAACGTGAGGTGAAACTTTTGAGTAAATTATTTATATTTATATGTACATATTACATATTGTTTGCATGAGAATAATATAAGTAATTTTAGTTTGTTTCTCTTGGTCGAACTTTAAAAAAAAAAAAATGTTGTGGCCTACGTATACTAAATCTAGTTTATTTGGCCCTTGCTAGCTTTTGAGTTTGACATTCTTGCTTTACACTATCGTGCTCTCCAATGCCTAAAGTACCTTTCTCTTCATTAGGGAATCATGGCATTCTAATAGACTGCGAAGTTGCAGAAGAGCTCATGCATATTGACGAATGGAACGGCAGGACAGTCTTTGATACCACCCTGGACTTTGTCATTTAATGGAACGCATGTTCAACTGGTTGGGGCAAATGCTGCAGATATATCTCCATAAGCAGGGAATGGTCACATGAGGAAAAAGGAACACATAGTGCCTCAAATTTCTGGAATGATTTTTATTTTTTTTCCTTTTCAGTCTAATAAACAATTTAATGAAATGCTCTATACTTCTTTGCCTAGATGCTGCATGTATCAGTATCTATTTTTCGACTTCATTCCACCAGGGGAGCTATGGCTTCTAAAGTGGTCTCATTGGGTTGCCCCTTGGAGGATCAAGGCCAGACTGGTCCCGAGAATCTACTTTCTGTGAATATTACTTTCGACCTACACCACATTTTGGATCTGCTGTTATTGCTTGTTATATGCTTGTCTTTATCAAATTGCAAGATTTTGCCAATATAAAGTCATGTATTTATTTATATTATAATATTCCCTCTCTATTTGTCTATCTTACCTTATGTATTTCTATTTCCTGACATTTTTTGCTGCATATGTATACAGGAAAAATAGGGGATGGTGGAGTGCAAAAAGACCAAAGGGGGTGTATTAATCAGTATAAAGTAATATCTGATGGATGCCGCAATTCTTTTAATGTATGTTTGTTATGCATATATATATATAGTTAATACAATGTTAAACAAAAATCTGCACACCAATCAAGCCATAAGACTGGCTTTTCCCACAGAAATCCCAAATCTGCAGTGATGTTACAACCGCAAAGGATTCTGGGTGGGCACGTGCAAATTAGTTTAACAAAGAATCACATTTTTGCCTAATTACATTTTAAACATGGATTCCTTTTAATCTGTGTTTGCCGTATACAACTGCTTGGAACACAATTTAGGAAAAGATGCAAAACCAGTGAATCACTCATGGACAGCTGTTTCATTGTTAATGCAACTCTTCAGCATGAGGTTGGTTACTGGTTTGCTTATTGAGGCTTGGTAGTGCTTGGGAAGCAAAATCCAAATAGGTTATGGTGGGGAAAATATTGTGATTGAAAACCCCTTCCACCTGAAGTCTGTGGATAGTTAATACAATGTTAAACAAAAATCTGCACACCAGTCAAACCATAAGACTTGCTTTTCCCACAGAAATCCCAAATCTGCAGTGATATTACAACCGCAAAGGATTCTGGGTGGGCATATGCAAATTAGTTTAACAAAGAATCACATTTTTGCCTCATTCCATTTTAAACATGGATTCCTTTTAATCTGTGTTTGCAGTATACAACTGCTTGGAACACAATTTAGGAAAAGATGCAAAACCAGTGAACCACTCATGGACAGCTGTTTCGTTGTTAATGCAACTCTTCAGCATGAGGTTGGTTTTCATCTGCAAGGTTAAAACTAGAGGGACCTGGCACCAAGACCACTTCATTGAGCTGAAGTGATCTGGGAGCCTTTAGTGGTCCTTTGTAAGCACTGAAACAACTCAAGCGTAATTAATCTCCCTATAAATGAGAAGTCCAGCATATTAGGGGCAAAGTTTACAGAGCGTGGCAAGACCAAATTACATGGCTTCCACTAGCTAAAGGATACTCTACACTGTCTAAAGTTTTTCCTTCTAGAAACAAAACATCTAAGGATAAAAGAATAAATGAAAAATATAAAATTGTGTAAATAAACATTTTCACACCATACGTGGGAGGTTTGTAACTAACTCATGGAGTGGACTTTGCCACTACTGATGCCGGGGAATGAGACCCTAACCCATGGCACCTGCCATAGTCATCCTTTTAAGGACATTAGCATTATCTTGGGCTCCTGCACACATAGCTGTGGAAGACATAATATTAATGCCAGATGTGATTCAGGGCTACCAGAAGAGCTCTGCCTGGTAACCCTGTATTTTGAGCACTGTGGAGTGGTGGGTGTGCACTAATGTTTCTTGAATGATTTATATGCTGATTCTCAGATACTGTTCGCCTGCTGGGTCCTGCGAGACCACTTTCTGTTCAGTTTGGGAGACCTGCGCATCTCATGAGTTCTTTATTTCCTAGTATCAGTGAAAACCAATAACCATGATTTATATAAAATAAAGGTTATAATATTTTTAAATTAAAAAGGGCTTGGTGGTGAAGGGGGTTAATGAGCTCTATGCAATTTATATTCACTTTATATTTGGAGAGCCATAACATAAAAAATAGGGACTTAAAAAAAAAAGGAACTTAAAAAATATGTTAGCTCCTAGTTATGCCATCAAACCCCATAAAGAGGATATTCTGGTTATGTCACGTATTCATCCGCCTATAAAAATGTGGTTAATGACATTTACTGTCCACACAGGAAAAGTTGTGCCGAGCAGCAACCAAATCCACAGAAGGATTAATGATGAGCATCAATTATGCAAATGGGAACCTGGTAACTGACTTTGGGGTCAAAGGCCGGTTACAGCCTATCAGATCTAGAGGAGGGGTATTTAGGCCCAGTTCTCATCCTGCTCAGTGCCCTGTTGTGGTTTCCCTTGTGGTTGTCCGAGAGCGTGTTATTGATTCTGGTAATTCTGGTTATTTGACTTTGGCATTGTTTTTGATTTCCCTGTTTTCTGGCATCCCTGACTCCTGGCTTTTCCTTATCGTTGTGTCTTTTTCTGTTTCCCTTGACCTCGGCTATTCCTGACTATTCTTTGGTATGTTAGTTCGGCCATTCTAAGGTCCGGTATATGTTACCTATCAGTCCTCTGTGTTATACAATACCACGTGCTGGATCATTCTGTAATCCTGACAGGTTAACTCTAAATCCTTTAGGGGTTGCGGTTTGTGCAAGGCCTGCACTACAGCACTGATTGAGAAAACTGATGAGTTTTCTAGTATGGTGACGAGAGAGGTATTTAAGGTCAAAACAGAGATAGGATGCCACATGGACTTTGTAGTCTATTTACTGAGATGTCTGTGTGGCAAACAATATGTAGGCCGAACTAAGAGAGCCCTCAAGGTTCGATTAATGGAACATCTAAGTAATATTAAAAAGAAACTCACCACTCACTCTGTACCAGCCCATTGTGCCAACTGCTCTTTATTTACTTTTAGGGATTTTAAATGTATGGGTATTAAAAAGGGTTTTACCTCATTGGCGTGGAGGTGATAGGGTGAAAAAATTGTCTAAAAGAGAGACATTTTGGATACACAAATTGAAGACTTTGGAACCTAGGGGTCGCAATATAGGTATTGATTTGGTTTGTTTTTTGGATTAATGTTTTTTTCCCTGTTATATTTTATTTTTGGTTATGAAAATATGTATTGTCACCTCTCCATCTTTCATGGTTCTCTACTACAATACATGTAGCTCTCCTGAGAAGTTATATTGGGCTTATCTATCTAATTGGTCTCTATATTATATAATGTTATTAATAATTTAAGAGTGGTATATCCCTTTAACATCTAATATATATAATATCTCTATATTGCACATTGCTTTAAAATAAAAGTAGATTGTCTTTTTCCTGACCTCTTTTTTGACCTCTATTTGTATATATGAGGATTTTATTTCCTCTATTATATAGGTATGTGTGCTACTCCAATAAATGGAAATTCTTTAATTGTTTTTGGGGAACATAATTAAATTGTATATGTTGCTCTAATGATTCACAATTATCTTTCAATATATGTCACTTTAAGATTGTCGTTAACATTTCACTTCTAATTGTAAATATAATCTTGTACATTTGACTGTGAAAAGTCAGATGTTTTATACTTTATTATGACATTCACGTAACTATCACTTTAAGAATGGTAATCAAATTAAATTGAACTTGTTGCTCTAATTATTCATGATTACTTTTCAACACGTCACTTTAAGATTGTCGTTAACATTTCACTTCCAAATGTAAATCTAATCATATACATTTGGCTGTGAAAAAACAGATGTTGTATACTTTGTTATGATATCCACACAACTATCACTTTAAAAATGTTAATGATACCAATACAATTGAATATAGAAGACAAATTGATGCTACACACTTTAATATCTTTGTTATGACATTCATTGAATTATCATCTTCAAAATGATTGTGATACTAACTTATTTCTCTTTAGTACAGGGAGTGCAGAATTATTAGGCAAATGAGTATTTTGACCACATCATCCTCTTTATGCATGTTGTCTTACTCCAAGCTGTATAGGCTCGAAAGCCTACTACCAATTAAGCATATTAGGTGATGTGCATCTCTGTAATGAGAAGGTGTGTGGTCTAATGACATCAACACCCTATATCAGGTGTGCATAATTACTAGGCAACTTCCTTTCCTTTGGCAAAATGGGTCAAAAGAAGGACTTGACAGGCTCAGAAAAGTAAAAAATAGTGAGATATCTTGCAGAGGGATGCAGCACTCTTAAAATTGTAAAGCTTCTGAAGCGTGATCATCGAACAATCAAGCGTTTCATTCAAAATAGTCAACAGGGTCGCAAGAAGCGTGTGGAAAAACCAAGGCGCAAAATAACTGCCTATGAACTGAGAAAAGTCAAGCGTGCAGCTGCCACGATGCCACTTGCCACCAGTTTGGCCATATTTCAGAGCCGCAACATCACTGGAGTGCCCAAAAGCACAAGGTGTGCAATACTCAGAGACATGGCCAAGGTAAGAAAGGCTGAAAGACGACCACCACTGAACAAGACACACAAGCTGAAACGTCAAGACTGGGCCAAGAAATATCTTAAGACTGATTTTTCTAAGGTTTTATGGACTGATGAAATGAGAGTAAGTCTTGATGGGCCAGATGGATGGGCCCGTGGCTGGATTGGTAAAGGGCAGAGAGCTCCAGTCCAACTCAGACGCCAGCAAGGTGGAGGTGGAGTACTGGTTTGGGCTGGTATCATCAAAGATGAGCTTGTGGGGCCTTTTCGGGTTGAGGATGGAGTCAAGCTCAACTCCCAGTCCTACTGCCAGTTCCTGAAGACACCTTCTTCAAGCAGTGGTACAGGAAGAAGTCTGCATCCTTCAAGAAAAACATGATTTTCATGCAGGACAATGCTCCATCACACGCGTCCAAGTACTCCACAGCGTGGCTGGCAAGAAAAGGTATAAAAGAAGGAAATCTAATGACATGGCCTCCTTGTTCACCTGATCTGAACCCCATTGAGAACCTGTGGTCCATCATCAAAATGTGAGATTTACAAGGAGGGAAAACAGTACACCTCTCTGAACAGTGTCTGGGAGGCTGTGGTTGCTGCTGCACGCAATGTTGATGGTGAACAGATCAAAACACTGACAGAATCCATGGATGGCAGGCTTTTGAGTGTCCTTGCAAAGAAAGGTGGCTATATTGGCCACTGATTTGTTTTTGTTTTGTTTTTGAATGTCAGAAATGTATATTTGTGAATGTTGAGATGTTATATTGGTTTCAGTGGTAATAATAAATAATTGAAATGGGTATATATTTGTTTTTTGTTAAGTTGCCTAATAATTATGCACAGTAATAGTCACCTGCACACACAGATACCCCCCTAACATAGCTAAAACTAAAAACAAACTAAAAACTACTTCCAAAAATATTCAGCTTTGATATTAATGAGTTTTTGGGTTCATTGAGAACATGGTTGTTGTTCAATAATAAAATTAATCCTCAAAAATACAACTTGCCTAATAATTCTGCACTCCCTGTAGATATATACACATAATTGCGTTTTTATTTGTAAGGATATATGGGAAAAGAGTATTGCACCCTATGAACTTCAACATAATAGAAGTGGAACGCAAGCGAGACATATTTGGAACACATGTGGAACGCAGTTGGAAGGCAGAAGTACGGAACTACCTTCATGTCCGGTTCCGGCTTTATTCAAACGCGCCAGTTTTGATCACAATCAAGCTACAAGGATTGCAAATATTATTATTAATAATTCAAAGTATTTAGGTTTTCATACTTGAAAGATATATTTGAATGTGATCGTTAGTACCTTGTTAGCACTCTCTAGCTGTTTGTAAACACCAGAACATTAAAAGGACACTGAGATCACTTCATCTTAATAAAGTGACTTTGGGGCATAGACTCTGCCCTCTCAGCCTTGCTGATGAAAACAGTACTGTTTCTGTAAAATGGCACAACTTACATTTGTGTGTCCAATGAGGACAGGATTGAATCAAGGCAATTGCCACACACAGGGACATATCTTACAGGAGGCAAACAAGGCATCTGCCTTGGGCGGAACTTTGCAGGGGGTGGCAAAAAAAGCCACCCCAAACACCCAGGCAGATCCCTTGCTTGCCTAGTGTCCTGGGGGGGCTGAAGAGCTTACCGGCTGGCTACTTTTGAGCCCACACCCACCCCCGAGGCGGGCAGCAAAGGAGCATACTCAGCTGAGGTATTCCAGCTCCGCTCCCTCCGCGCCACTTAATGAACCCGGGAGCCGGAATATGACATCAGACCGGCTCCCAGCATATATCAGCAGCGCGCAAGGGAGGTGAGCAGGAAGATTAAAGCCCCCTCGTTGCCTACTCAGCCTGTCCACCCGCTGCCTGCCCGACCAGCAACCCCACTGGAAAGGTAAGTAATCCATTCCAGCTCTCCCAGGGAGGCTGGGTGGATTTAAAATAATAATAAAAAAATAATAATTTGTGAGTGCTGGGGGAAATGTCTGTTTGTCTGTGAGTAAATGTGTGTGTGTCTGAGTGAATGGGTGTGTGTGTCCAGTCAAAGTGCAGCCTTGACTTGAAGTGGTGTGGAAAATTTAAACTAAGGGGGGTGCCGGACACAAATCCTAAATACACCACTGGCCACACATGCACCATATGTCTGTTTCTATTTGAGAAGCATTTTATCACACAAATAAAAATTAAGGTTGATGACTTCATATAGAAACATTGGGAAGTTTAACTGACTTTTAAAATAGCTGCCTTTATTTAATGTAATCTAGTAAATGAGCACAGCCAAGTTTAAAAAAACTACTGTATGTATATTGTTTTAATTAGTCTCATTAAGGTAACATTAACCTCTCAGTTTCCCTACGCAACATTACAGCTCTTGGACAACCCATACATTTAGAATAAGCCCACGCAGCTACTGGATATGGATTTCCCCAAAAGTGTTACCCATTCATGCAGATCCACCACCGCATAGTGCAGCACCTGGTCATTATTAAAATCACTTCCCCTCTGCAGAGTTCACTTTTTTCTCCTCCACTGCTTTTTCCTCCACCCTATACTTCCTGGGCACCCAACAGATCTTTCCTGTCCATACTGCTTGAAATATTGGGGTCTTTTGACTTAACAGAGTTGACAACAGACTTACAAATGGAGACCAAAATAGAAAAAAACAAGAAAATTTAGTAAGTTGATCAACTGCAATGCAATTTACTGACAAGTGAAAATACTTTTTGTTCCTTAACAGGCTCTTTTATGCTATAGTACATATAGCTTTCATTTAGTGAATTACTAAAATGCCCAAATATTTCTCCAACTCTATATTCAGTTTAGATATTTTAGATTAAACTTTGATTTTTAGATTTATGATAATCTAAAGCTTAGTGTTAAGTTAAGACGGTCAAATAGAATTAGTAATATTTTTAAAAAATCTACTTTTTTCATTTACAGAACCGATCTTGTTCCATATCTTATGTTTAAAGCACAATGGAACTCCTCATCTCTTAACCCCTGAGGTTAGTCCCTAACAATAGTAAAAAAAATAAAAAAATACACCAGATAGAATGTGTGTGGAGAGCTGTATGTTAGCGTAGGCTCAGTGTGCATGTGTATACACTCAAACTTGATCTCTTTTACAAGCTCGCTACAGCCACTGTACACACACACGCACACACATTTACTGCATCCATTACACACACATACTGGATACCCTATACAGACACTACAAACCATATACACTTCATCACCTACACACAACTTGCAGCAATGCGTGTACAGGCCAGAGCTTGCATGAAATGCAGTCTTAAAGGGACTCTCCAGTGCCAGAAAAACAAACCGTTTTCCTGGCACTGCAGGTCCCCTCTCCCTCCCACCCCCCATCCCATGTTGCTTTCAATGCTTTTCTGTGGTGATTTCAGCGACGCTGGAGATCCTCACAGATCTGTGCTATAATCCCGGAAGTGCCCTCTAGTGGCTGTCTAGTAGACAGCCACTAGAGGAGGAGTTAACCCTGCAAGGTAAATATTGCAGTTTATGAAAACTGCAATATTTACAGTTGTAAGGTTAAGGGTAGTGGGAATTGGCACCCAGACCACTCCAATGGGCAGAAGTGGTCTGGGTGCCTGGAGTGTCCCTTTAAGTCTGCATGGGATTGAAGGGAACATCTTTTGATCACCCCTGTGAGCCTTCGGCTCATGGTCATCGTGGCCCATCAGGCAGTTGTTTGGTTT